ACAGATTGTGATTTTTCTTCTAGAGTTGACAATCTCATTCCTCGGATTCAAATTCTTGGAAAAATTACCAGATTTTTTAAAATCTCCACCAGTTAATTTCCTTCCTTAATTGTTTTTGTTTTGGGCTGAAATTGTTCACATTAATTTTCGTGATTTATATTGCCTGATTTCTCAAACGTAGGGATTCTGTCTCACTTCCTTTTATATCCTCCGGTTGATAACTTTGAATTGGAAAAAAGGCTCTGCTTCTGAAACCCAAAAAATGCCTAAGAAATCCCTCCATGATTACCTCTCCAAGATCAAAATATCCTCTCCAAATCTTCCTCTTTCCTCCTCTAAACGTATTCTCTCTGGATGCAAGCACCCGAAGACCCTGTCATTTGCCGTGGACAACACTCGAAAACAAGACGGTGATGGCGGTGGTAACGAGGAGGCGGCAGCCACACTCGCCGATATCGACCGGTTTCTCTTGGAGAATTTCAAGTCTCTTTATATTAAAGACGAGCAACAGAATGAGAAAAAGGGTGAGGGTCAAGTTGATCAAGTTAAAAGCCCAAGGGGGATTTTGTTTGAGTCTCCAAGGTTCGTTGACCCACCGCCTGGCCTCCGAGGATCCAGCCGGTTTTTCGTGGCTCCAGGCGTGACTGGCTCTCTCATGGAGGAGGCACGGACGAGCCTCACCAGCCTCAACTCGGAAGACCACAATGGCTCAAGCTCGACCTCCACAAATACCACACTTAACGAAAACTCCTCTGCTAAAAGTACAGTGACAAAACTTGCCTATAGTGACATTAGCTCAAATGATTCCAGGGACGTCACGACCGAGACCCTCCCTCAAGAGTGCATTGCGGTGCTAACGTACTCCCCGGATCCATACAACGACTTCCGCCGCTCCATGCAGGAAATGGTGGATGCACGAATGCAGCATCAGGGGAAGCTCGACTGGGACTTCATGGAAGAGCTCCTGTTATCTTACTTAAACTTGAATGAGAAGCAGTCTCACAGGTTCATAATGTGTGCTTACGCCGATCTGGTCACTTTTCTCCGTCAAAGGGAGCGAAGAGCTCCGGTAAAATCAAGGAGAACTCGATATACGAGCGAAAGGAAAAGGAAAACAACGAGGTTTGAGGAGGAGACGTGAGGAGTTGGCAACCAGATGAAGGGTACCTTCTTCCATTCGTAGTTTTAAAAACTTGTCTTTCGCCCTCAGACCTTAGCATTACGGTTTTTCTAATCTAATATACAAAGTCAAATGTGGGCTTTTCAAGAACATGGTGATTTGTTTATGATTTAGGTTTGTATAGTGGTGGTTTAATTGGTGTTAGATTTGGTGTGAGAAACTAGGGAAGAAGGTGAGTTGTTTTTACGTTGTCTATTGCTTGTTCCCAAGGAATTTTGTATGGTAATTGGTATTGTACGTAGTTCCTGGGAAATATAAATCAACATTCACAAGCAAGAAAATGGTTCGCCTGAAAAGCATAATTTCTTGCTTTTGAAGTTAGAGATAATGGAGCCTATCGGTGGCATAGACAGAATTCGTAACTAGGGGACACAAGCCAAAAACAAACCTTAAATTCTTCCCAATTCCTGGCACACCGCACCAACCAAAAGCAATCGCCAATCTGTCATTTTATAGAGCCTACGACTTAACTGGTATAGTGATAATTTTCTTCTCATGAAAGTAATTTTGAATTTTATTACTACATTTTTAAGGGTGAATTTGTTCAACTAAACAATTTCAAGAGTGATTTTGCACCACTGGCAAAACCATATCAACAGTAAGTTTCACCGTGGAGGAAAAGACAACCAATGAACAGAGAACTTTTTCTCACTCTTATCCAATGGCATCAGAGGTTCTATTTCAGCGCGCACACACACACACATATATATATATACAAGTGAATAACAGGGCGCACGATATATATTTACAATTGCTACTGTAGTTCCCAGAAACATATGCCAAAATCATTGGACATCATATTAAGTACAGTTAAACATCAATTACCAATCAATTTTGGTTCTTTGTATCTATCAGCTGCCTTTAGGTTGGCTTAGCAGGAAAAGTTTGCGTGGGCTTAGACTAGCAATTTATAGCAATTAACAAGTCACTTTAGGTTGCAAATGCAAAAATCCTTCACTCCTTGAATATCCAAGCAAGATTTTTCCCAGAGCAGTGATGGTTGCATCACTCACACCCTTGAAAAATTCCATCTTACCATGATGCTCCTATTTTCCTGGGATCAAAGATATCATCATTCAGGAAAGCACCAAAGCATTTAAATGTTAAACATTCACTGCCATCCAGATCAACGATAACACTGAAAGAAAGGCATACCTCACATTACTGTATGGATGAGTTCAGTTCCTTGTTTTGCTTGTTGAGCTTTCCACATTTGTTTTGAGGTACTGCTCATATAAAGATTGATATTTTGCAGGAACATAATCCTTGAATCTGCAAGGCAACAGAATCTGGGATCAGAGGCTCAAATAATAGTGCATACAAAGGAGACAAAAAAAAAAAAACTTCTAGGAATGGATAATAAAAGCTAAAGTACAGAGTCCTTTACTAAGGAATATAGAACTTCTTACAATGTGGGCAGTTATGTACCCATCAGAGACAATTTCATCTTTCCTCCATTTATTGTTTCTCTACAGCCCAAAATTTTTGGCTTTAATATATATGTGCTTTTGCCTTCTATCCTTTTAAAGTTAGGCTACAAATTTTTTTGGTGTTTATAGAATGTTACTCCCTCTAGCCATCTATCTGTCCATTGTGACTTTTGTACACACAACTTTAGATAATCCATTTATATGGCACATGAATGACAATTTTTTTTTTTTTTTGTCTATATGTAGTTCTAGTTGAGTAGTTTTATTTTAATAAAAAAAATCAATTGTCATTCATATGCTACATAAAAGCATTAGAAAAAAATGTGTGCGCCAAATTCTATGGGGACAGATAAATAGGAACAGAGTGAGTATTACCCATAGCAAGATGAACAAAATTAACACCTGAATGAAAAAAGAATACAAAATTAATTTTGCCCCTAATTCATTGATATCCTAAAAGTGCATGTATCATGTTATGAAGCACCATGCAAGTAATGGAGAAGTAAATCTATAGAATGTTGGTCAAAACAATGCTAAATGCAAAGAAAAATTTTAGTTGTCATTTTCTAAGATAATTCCCAATTCCCCCTCGCAATGGAAAGGCGTCTTAGCAACAAGATGGAGACAAATAGAAAGCATAAATCAAACAATACTTGGCTTTATAATAATATTAAGGTAGCCATTAGAGTAGATAAATACCTATCAAGAAGAGGAAGCCTCTCAGGTTCTGAAAACAATCTCACAATGCATTGCAGTACCTGACCAATCTTCATTGTTTTGGACTTCAGTGCCTTCATTAACCCTACAAATTCTTTATATTCAGCAGAACTAAGCTTCTCTTTCACCTGCAAGGCATAGTAAATCACTAATACACAGTTGACAGCATGCATAGACAAAAAAGGAAAAAGAAACAGTTAAATTTACGTGAGAGTAGCCGGTCAAAATTTATATGAGAGCAAAACATAAAGTGGTTGAAACAAGAAACAATTAGCTGGAGGACAGTTAATTGGTCGAAATGCATTTCTGAGATGCCTATTTGAATGCAGGCAAGTATCTGGATAGCAAAAACACGGGAAACTAAATTTATTTTGGTGCATTTCCTCCTCAAGCTCCAAGAAAAGCTTCCAAAAAGGAGCTTACATTAAGGTTCCAAATTAAGAAGTTTAGAGGGACAACCTCCCAAGGATTACTTTTCATTCCCACACTTACATTCTGATACCACCCCAATGTACACATACAAAAAGGAAAGACGTTTTCTCAAGACCTTTTAAGTTCCTGCTTTGGCCAAAAATGAGACGTCCAATGTAAGAATAGAATGACATTGTTCATGTTTCTCAGAAAAAGTGCATTACTAAATGTTGTCAAAGATCCACATGTTCATAAAGCCAACTTAAGATCAACCATATTTTAAATTTTCAGAAGGGGGAATTTTAATTAGACATCATACACCAGGAAAAAAAACAAAAAGTAGAATTGGTGTCTTGAATGAACAGACCTCAGTTATCTTAGGCTTTACTCCAATAAACATTTACATTATTTTCATAATGTTACAAACCAGTGTCCTAAACTATCACCCTAAGATACAACTCTGACAAAGGCATTTCTAAAAGTTCCTAATGCAGCTGGATGATTCCCATATTGCCATCCATGCCTCAAATTTAATATACGATTATCAATGTAGAAGAGAAACAAAAAGGTAGTCTTATTCAACTTTTTCAAACTAGAAACAAATAATTATCCATCACGATTTTCAATTTGCAATATTAATAGAATATATACTTTATTGTCTAAACAGTCATCCAAGATAACATTATCATTTGGAAATTCCTCAACATCTTTCTTGCATGTTGAAATATAGAATAAGGGCAAATATTCAAGCAAATAAGTCATTTGAACCGTTAAAAATAACTAAGACAAGCATGAGGGAAAAGAAAAGGTACATCACCTGAATCAAAAACACAGATCCCTTTGTTTCCTCATCTCCACAAGGTATGGTGCTTAAATGAAAACCTGTTCTTTCTGGACCAAGAGGTTTAGCATCTGCAAGTGCAGCCCCTTCATCTTTTTGTAGCAAATGAACTTTAGCATTTACCATGGTGCTAGTATCAGAAGTCCGTGTATTCTCAACTTTCACTGAAGTGAGCATGAAAGGATGGTCACTTGACCCTGACCTTTGGGCACCAGATGCGTGATCACCAGTATTTTTGACATGCTGCATAGTGTCATGCTCTATGTTCAGCACTTTACGTTTCTTTGTCAACAAAGGCACTAACTGTGGCTCTTTACTTGGTTTTTCATCCAATAAAGAATCATCAATCAAATCGATTACTTCATGATTTTTCTGTTGCTTGTTTCCTCCACAAGGAATTGATTTCTTGTCCTTGAAACCATGACCACTTGATTGCATCAACTCTGAAGCCTGGCCTTCCTTGCAAGGAGTAAGAAATGAGCGATTGGCAGGAAGAATGCCCCCCAGCTGGCTTGAACTGTTGCCCCTTTTAACTTCACGTAAAACAGATATTGGGTTGGTGGAGCAAGCTTTATCCGCTGGTTTTAACTGTCATTATAGAGTACTAAGAAACAACTACATGAAAGAAAATACTGGTACATACTATAAGTAAACAGATAATAATGTATATTAGAAAAAAAAAAAAAAATTACCCCAGTAGAGAAACTCTCTGAGTAAGATTTATCAAGTGGCTGAGCAGTTTTTGTCTCTCTTCCATCTGCTGTATAAATTTATCCTCTGAGTAAATCTATAACTGAGTTGCAAAACATAGCATATATGTAGTTTAAATTCACAATTATAGGGTTGGTTGAAGACAAAGCTGCAATTTTTTACCCATTAACAAATTTCTGATAACAACCATGTCAAGGTCAGAAAGTAAAGTTGTTTCAGCACATAATAGGCTTCCACATGTATATGGACAATAATAATATACATTTTCCTCATTCTCAGCCTTTTTGTCAACTGACAGAAAACCAAGATGCCACCCAAAAAGTAAAACCCACCCACTCCCTCCACACATAGAGCAAGATGATATGACCATATCCCAACCCTCAACATTTTTCTACAAAGTGTCTGCCACCAAGGTTCATCATTAGCACTTAAAGTAGCACGCCCTCCAGATTGTATAAGTAATAATGAATTAGATAAGGCTAAAAGAGGCATTGTGAAAAAAAGGGAAAAACTAAAAAGTTACTTCTTAATATCCATGAAAAGCAGGAAAAGAATTTGGTGCCCTCAACTGGTAAAGAATTTGTAGCAGAATTTGGTGTTAGGTTGGTCTGAAAGTACAGAAGAGAATTGAATTACAGAAGGCATAACAGCAACAGAAGGAAAAGGAAAGAGTGTACTGTAATCAGAAAAACTACAGAAGCCTTAAAGATCTATAAGGAAAGAGAGAGAAGTCAGCTTTGACTTTTGAGGCAGTATAGCTATTTCTGTTTCTGAACTTCTAAAATTAGAAGGGGGGAATGAGGAATTTTGGGGTTTTTAGGACGGTTTGATCTATAGGTCAACTAGGTAGAGAACCAAATGGATGAAAACTTGGGATAATAAGACCTGACTTTATTTAGTGACAACAAATCCAAATTAGGACCACATCAAGCTATGAAAATTGACTGCCGAAAGGAAAAAAGCTATGAAAAGTAATACTCCAGAAAAAACAATCTTGAACTTAAACTTAGTATCGTCATAAACACTGATACATCGAGTTCCAAACCAATATTTTAACTCTTTTCTCATTTACACACGAGAATCAGACTACTTTCCTCAAACAATTAACACCCTCCATTGCAAGAAGGATCCAAACAGCTATAAAGGAGCTCTCATCTCAATGAAGCAAAAAGGAGAAAAAGAGAAACATAAATTGCACGAGCTCACAAATTTAAAGAGTAAAAATAAAAAATAAAAAATAAAAAAGAGGCTCCTAAATTGTTTTGACAGTTCAATACTAAGGCAGGAAAAATCAACTAAACATGAAACTGATGATATTTTTTAACCAAGTGATACTTTACCAATGTTTCCATTTTCTAATAATTTAAGCTTCGTAGGACTGCACATTCCTCCATCTCGGAAAAAACGGGTTAGTTTAAAAGCAACTTCACCAAATTTGTTGTAACACTGCAAAAGTAGGGAAGAATCAGAAAACAAGCTTTTTAATAAAGGGTTATTTCAAAGCCCAGAAACATACTGTGAGATGAGGCTGTATCCAACGGGATATTTGAGATTGCCGATTTGGATAACCAAACCTGCAAGCTCTCAGGATCAAAGTAGAAAAAGTAAATGCATGACATAGTAACATGGTAACAAGAACAATATGATTTTGAATGAAAATATTTGCAGATTTCAGAGGCGAAATTCTTAAGATCCCTGGTCATGAGTTTTCAACATTGTCAAGAGCAACATTTATGGATATATTGAAAATATATATATATATACATATTTAGATTATGATAATTGTGTTAAACAGAAAGCCCATGTAATATATTACAAAACAAAGTAATTAAAGCACATCTTTTATGTTAAATACATCTCCTGCTAGCACCTTTTTTATGGAAAAACCGATACATATAGTGAAAGGTTTTTCTTCCAACACATTTTAGGGGTTTTACCCAAGATCTAAGTGACTTACAGTCAATTGAGATAGAAATAACTAATTGAGAAGCTCAAGTTTTGCCATGAATAATGCACAATATTTCTTTAACCAATCAACAGATTTTCTTCATCAATTAAATGAACTTTGTTTTCAACTTTAGTGTTTTTTTCCACTTTTCTAGGCAGAGCAATTATGATTTTAAGAATCTAAATCATATAAAAATGGCATTGATATCAGCAAAAATGACAAGAATGTTTAAGAAAAAGTTGTGGATACAGAAATTTATAAAACCATGCCCCACAGTCATTGTTATTGCTTCGTTAATATGCATACCCTATACTTTTACGTTACTATCAACTAATTACTGATACTATACATGATTTAACTCCTTACACAGCATCCAAGTTTAGGGTGGCACATCACTGCAACTTGATCAAACTCACAATCATGCATTCTACGCTCTAATTTGGATCGCTTTAATTACAAATAAGTGATAAGATTCTTCATTATTCTCAATTTCTCATATTATTAGGATGTCTAAGAAAGATTTGCCTTGATGTGCCCCATCTGGGGTCCAAAGTAGGATCTTTTCCTCTAACCTTTCCTAGTCTGCTCAGTGATGATCCATGTCACCTTAAGGTAGCAACAACCTTGATATCTCACTTGGTAGACATTTTTCCACCACACAAACCTCAAACTTGCATTTTCCAAAACCATTCCTGTCTCTTCCTACTAGATTTTTTATCCATCATATTGACACCAATGTATCTCCTATTAAATCTCCTAACAACCACATCTATCACAAAAGGTTGCACACAACACAACCTTATCTAATCTAATCTAATCTAATAACGTTAAAGACCCACCCTCCACAGTAATTTTAATTTTCTCATTCATTAAGCAGATGATAAACACATTTAACAAAACTATTTCCAGAAAAAGGGACAAGGTACAAAACCTCTCATCACATAGAATGATTGCTCCATAATCATGACTATGACGGATAACACGTCCAACTGCCTGGTTCACAGCCCTTGATGCTTGTCGATTGTACCAGTCTTCTCCAGTTAGCAACTTCAGTGCCTAATTGAATTAGAAGGAATATATTCAAATTTTAACCCTATTGAGTAAATAAAAACAAAGACTTCAATACTATTTTAGATGTTTTTCCCAAGCAATATCAACATCACCTGGCATCCTTCCTTCAGTGATTGTGCCTGTTGATCCAAATACTCACGTTTGAGTCGAACCTGCCCTAGAGCAAATCAGTTGTGCAAGTAAAACTACTAAACAAGAACTACATATAGGGAAAGGAAAATTTTCAATTGGCATTCATTTACCATGTTTTATTATCATCTAAAATTTGTCTTAAAAGTTAAAAGGTCAAATTACACCAAAAAAAAATTATAAAAAGTTTTTTATGAAAAACTTTTATATATCATGCACACTTCAATCATTACATCAGCAATTTAAAGCTCAAAAAGAGCAAATTGCTGACCGTAAACAAACTAAAGGATGATCAAACCTTAGCATCATTGCTTGTGGGAAATGGCAAGCCAGTGACAACTACTGCTCTCCCAGCGTGATCAGCAAAATCCAGTCCTTCACTGACCTGTAGAAAAGGAAAAGTCAACCAAGCTAGACAAGACTGGCTTCATAAAGACAGCAATACATTATAGAGTTGATATAATTTAAGAAGCATTAATATATTAGGAAAGACTTATAAAAGAAAACCAGTGTTGTTAAAGGAAAAAAGCAAGGCAAAGCAATGGCCTAAAACATGCCGAAGTGAAGAAGCAAGAAGCAAAGCAATGAAGCGATGCAGCGAAGAAGCAATGAAGCAATGAAGCAAGAAGCGAAGCGATGAAGTGAGAAGTGAAGTGATTGCTTCTTTTAAGTGAAGCGAGTAATACTTTGAAGTGGTCGATTATTAAACAAAATAGAACTAATTAGAATAAAAACTTAGTATTAAGAGTGCAAAAGTAGAACAGAGTGGAAGTTATAGGTTTATAAATTAAATTCTCCTTTACTTAGTGCAAGCAGAATTAAATTCTGTTTTGGAATTAAAATTCAGGAATCTTATAAAGTGAGAAACTGACTATTTCAATCTATACCATATATAGATATGATATTAAGTTTCTTAATCAAGGTCCCCTAAACTAGATAGATTTGAACTCTAGAAGTCCTACTAACAAGAAATATAACTGAAAAATAAAGGGAGGGATAAAGAGGAAATGCATAAAAGTTGAAACAATACTAGAGAATTCTGTTTCTATTTCCATGAAACTTCAACTAAATTAAGATAATCTGAGGATGAGAAAAAATATATATATAAGAAAGAAAGAAAGAAAGAAGAGAATGTGTTGATAAAGTCAAGGAAGAGGATGAAGTCAAGGAAGAAGAAGAGACAGGAAGGAGAATATGCAAATAAAAAAATAAAAAAAGAAACAAGAATGGACTTTCCTATTAATTGTAGAATTGATGAAGTTGAGACTCAGGAAGATGATAAAGTCAAAAGACAATGAAGTCACAAAGAAAATTAGGGGAAGAGGTAGTCAGCAAGCACAGAGACTTACTGCTTTTGCCCTAATTGGAGTCAAAATTCCAATTTTAACCCTTAATGGTTCTATATTTTTTTTTATTCATAAGGGTTTTTTGTCATTTTAGGTCCTTTTAAAGACATGATCACTTCAACATCAAAGCAGCGCTTTTATCACTTCACTTCGCTTCAATTGCTTTGGGACCGCTTCTTTTAAGTAGAGCACTTTAGAAATTTTGAAGCGGTGGTGCCTTTGATCACTTCGCTTCATCGCCTTAAGCGGTGAAGCGACCACTTTTGACAACACTGAAGAAAACCCAGAAAATAATACAAGTATTAAGACCATATCTAGAACAGTAAGGATCTGCAGCCTAAACATGCACCTTCATCATGACTAACTAGCAATGAAGCTTTAATGATACATTAATTCAGTGAGAATGAATGTATAAGATTATGCAAGATGTAGTTGACCAATCTCCACATATAGAAATGTAATAGTTTAAAAGAAAATGCTCTAAAGATATTTCTAGTTTTGAAACACTGCAAGTATAAAGCTCATTTCAAAATTTTAAATTCAACAGCAGCAAATCATGATCAATTATGGCATTAACAAGCTGAGCAAGAGTTTAATTCCCTAAAAACCACATCTTCTATTACAGAACTACTAAAAAAAAAAGCATAAATAAGCAAAGGGGCAAGCTATTTAGCATCTCCAAGAGTTTGCTAATCATGTCTCATAGAATCAAGTCACATCAAGCAGAATAATGAGGAAACACCAAAGATTAAAATAAAACTGGATTGCAACCAAGAGTCAAACACTACACTACAAACACAGCAATAGCAACTTCACTACCCGTGATGCACCATTGCAACCAAGAGTCACGGTGAACAGCTCCAATACCAATTGATACAAACCTTGGGGTTGAGCATATCACAATCAAAAGATAGCTACTGATGTGGGACAACCCAAGACCATATAAATAGAAAACCCAGGTCAAATCTGATAATTCCAATGTGAGATCCACATCCCATACCTTGTGATGGGGATTGCAAAATATGGTAGCACAACTAAGTACACAAGATGACAGCATGCATTGAAAGGTGTATAAGATGTAGAAGGCTGAACCAAGGTTGGTTTTGTTTCACTTATGCAGTAATAGTAGAGTTTGTAAATGGGTAGGGTACCCCTTGTACCCCTATAAATAAAAGTCCTTTTGTTTGCTGATAAAAAATAAAAAAATAAAAAAATAAAACTAAGTACACAAGATGCATGTAAGAGAAACTTAGAAACTATTTTACATTGGCCTTCAACAAACAGCTATGGTCAAAATTCATAGTTGAATCAAGCAAAGAAGATATCCAAATTTCTTTTCCATCAACAGAACAGATAGAAGATGAGTCAAAACAAAGATTGTCTACTTAAAGTTGGATAAGTGCCTACCTTGCCACGACAAACAGCAAAAAATATTGCACCTGAAGATGAGGTGTCCTTCAGTTTAGCCATATAGTCCTGCCAAGGAAACCTAACTGATTACCCGAGATGAAATTCATAAATATATGTCCAATATTGAAGAATACTGATTAAGTCTAGACTTTATGCTCATGTTTTACCTACCTCAATTGACAAAGGAAACAAGGAAGACTGTCTAGGCTCAATAACAGGTTTCTTGTGTTTGCAGATTCTTTCCCATATTGTTGTTGAATTAACAGAACTCTGCAACAGAGAAATGAGCACAAGCACAAAGTTTTCAAAGATAAAAGGAGATAAATTTTCCTTATCCACTAATCTTGTTTTGAGGCCTTACCATGTTCTTCCAACACCCAATGCACTGATCCAAAATGTAGTAAGATGGAAAGAACACAAGCAATCCATCAGGTACAATTCGAGCAAAATTGACTGGAAAAGAAAACAACTTTCAGGGCATCACTGGAAAAATAACAAGCTAAAACTCAGGATTAATTGAAAGAAGCAATAGCCCCCATGCATCCAAGAACGGATTGCTCCTTCCATTTGTTCAAAGGTGGTGAGCAGATAGTGCCACTTAATTATTGTCATACCATTGGGACATTAATAATAGGCTACTCACAAGTGGCAATAATCATTTTTACATACCAATAGCATTCCCAAGTTCTTGTTTGTATTCCAGCGAATCACGATTTCGGTAAGATGAATTGAAAGAGTAACCTGAAGGACCAACTGGTACAACTCCAGCCCATATCTGAGTCGAAGAAATAACATGGGGATTTTCCAGCCGAATAGGAAAATCTCTGAGATCACCAGCAAACGTTCTCCATTAAGTAATTAAGCAAGCTATGGCATGTACCGATGTCAAACTATGAAGAGGAATAATTTTGTTACTTACAATTTCAACTCTTGTGCAAATGAATCCATGGGAGACAATGTACCAGATGTCAATATAATCGAGCCAACTCCCAGTCGAGAGAACTCTTGCATGGTAATTCCTGGATTGAAGCACCACCAGCTGAGTGTTCTGGATGTCTTACCTACACAACTCATGTAGATGATATATTATTATCATAACTGGAAGATGTAAAAGAAGTCATGACATAATGCTCATTTTTAGGGCCAAGAATTTGCATATCATTGTACTAAGCAAACACAAAATGAAAGCCTCAATTAATATTAGAAAGCACAACAAATACAGAAACACAAAAAGAATATTAGAGTACAACAATCAAGGCAAACTCCTAGGAAGCAACTAAAATACAAAAACAACACAAATAGAGAAAGGTAATAAACATATTTACCTTTTCAACATTTTCATATGATTATTTTGGTTTGCCGGAGGTCAGAGGAAGAATATTTTAATGGTGAATACTCTCTTGTGTACTATACCAAATGATATGCATCTGATGGACTTTTCAATGACATATCTTCGAACATCAATAACAGGATTCATTGAATATCATACATCCAATGAAACAGTAAAATGTATTGCCCTAAAATATACAATCTTTTCTTTCTTTATTTTTATTTTTGGCTCATTACCACCTCTGCTTCTGAATTTAGCCAAATCCTTTCATACACTTGTTTTGTGCTTGATTGAGTTACAAATAAACTCATATACCTTAGTCAGACATAATGAAAAAAAGAATATGATTGATAATCTGAAGAGTGAACAAATGATGCGGTGGACTGCTAAGTCAAATCAAGAGCTTATGGAATAATATAAACTTCAAGCCTTAGCAATAAAAAGAACTCCCACCCAGAAAGGAAAAGTCAACAAATGCCTGTGATATTACCTTTAAGGATTTCTGTAGCTTTTGTCTCAGCTTCCTGCACATGAACCTGAAAGCAACATAAAGTTTAAAATTCGACCATCCTGTTTATGCATAGATAATATGGCAGAAAGATGTCAATTCTCTAAGCCCAAAACATTAAATCCTAAACACTCCTTCATTATATCATGCTCTTACTGCAAATTAGTATGACAGAAACTTACACGATAAAAATCTGCATGAGCATTGACTTTATCTCTAAAGATTAGGTTCAGGATGTCACTGAAGCTCTCCAGCCTACAGGCCGTTTCATTTTTCTTCTGCTGTTTATCTTCCTCAAGTAGCACTGCTGCTTCCTCAATTATATTAATAATTTTTGAGGCAGTCTTATGTGTGATATTAAGATCACCAAGTAACTCATAAATGTAAGGCCCAGGCTTTGTAAATCCAAATTCCTTGGATTCTATGGGAACTTCAGCAATTCGCTTCTCAAGCTTCAAAAGAAGAGCTGCAATACATACAGCCAAGCATAAAAATATATAATTAACAGCCCAAAATTAAGTTGAATGCCCTTTTTTTATTTTTATGGCCTTAAGCTGAACACTAAAGTAGCCAACAAAACAAATGAAAGTTTTTCCAGAAGCATGGTATCCCAAACTTCACAAAACAAAAGAATAGGAAGGTAATAAAAATAGAATAAAATAATAAAATAATAAACAAATAAACAAATAAATAAATAAATGAATAAATAAAATAGACTCTACAAGACAAATAGAATAAAGTAAGCACAACTGACTCCAACACACCAGAAGGACAAAACAATTTGGGGCCAGATGAACCAGCTGTGTTTAAAATACTGAATAATATAAACAGTATATACATGCATTATAAAGGCAAACAGAAGAATTCCTCTTTCAATGCAAATTTCAGTGACCAAATCACTTGCCTCGCAGTATAGCAAAATTATCTGGATTTCGTGATTTGTCATTTGAATCTTCCCTCCTTGAGACAGCAAGGTCAATACAGGTTTTTGCTTCAGATATACATGCTGTTAGAAGTCCAGAAGGTAGGTCAAAAGATGCGGCATCTGCGCATAAACTTTCCTGCATTTCATCACTATTATGTCAGTGGCTAAGCTCATTATCACAAAATAATTTGCAGCAGATAAGTGACTTCATAGATCATCCTTTCATAACTAAATTACAATCAAGAATAGGCAAAAAACTGAAATGAGGAAAACCATACTAGTTCTTTTAAAACCTTAATATTTAAACCAATCTCTCCAGTCTCATATTTCAATGCTTTATCCTTACCAGGTTGTGAGCCTCATCAAATATAACTATACTCTTCTGCCAGTCAAGCTTTAGAGATTTCCGATTCCCACGATCTATGAGATAGTTATATGGTGCAAATAAAATATCAACAACTTTGTGGAGCTCTCGCGATAAGTAATATGGACAACTACAAGAGAGAACCACTAAACAAATTACAAAGCAAATATTACAAATAATGCCAAAAACAGAATACATATTGGAAAATCAAACCAACAGAATATGAAATGAGAAAGAAACAGCGGAAACCTACGGCCCATATCTTCTACCAATATTGAACAAATCCTCTATGTCAACAGGTTCATCTCCGAGATGAGGATTCTGCTTCATATAATCTACAATAAAAGCACAGACAATGATGGAAGTTACATTTACCTGCAATAGTTTCTAAATAAAGTTGGAAATCATAATAACATACTTAACTCAGTTTGAGAGTGCATAACATAAATTTTTTTAGAGAATGAAGCAGCATATTAACTGCTCAGTAACATCTAGATAATCAACATGATGTAAAGTTTTACCTTGATGTTTAGTAAAATAAACAAAACACAACAATCTACTTCTCATCAATACATTCACTTTTAAAGTTGGACAGAATTATGGGGGCAGAAGTGAGGATAGAACTTTTAGAATACCAGGCTTAATGGAAGAGAGAAACTAAGTGAAAACCATGTATATATGTGTACATGTAATGTAAGGTCTACCATGGCCTATGACTTTTCAAAATTAAAAGTGAAGCAAATCCAAGAGGCTTGTACTCCTCCTTTGAAGACTGGATAAGATTCAAATGTAAAACAATTATTTTCACGGTATCAGAAAAATAATAGTCAGCCCAAACTCCAAAGTAGTTAAGACAACAACTTAAGGCCCAAATCAGACATTCATTTCCTTTCAACACTCATTAATTTTTAAATTACTATGTAAGTTCTCTTGGTAGGAGAAAATCGTCTGTCAATATATATAATGATATTGGCATCAACTCATGGTTAAAACAAAATTGACAAGCATAAAGATGCTGGAACATCATCTGTATTTGTCTGCAGAAAACAACACTCCTGCCACAAAGTAGAGTAGAATTACCGGCAACTTGAGGATAGTGGATGCAATGACGCTTCTGACGCTTTCTGCAGAGGAAATGACATGCATGTGTCTGAGCTTTTCCATGAAGTAAACTCACTTTATCATGAATGCACAACTGCTCCCGAGATCCTAAGACTACCATTTTTGGCCTGCATTATATTAAAAAAGTAAATAAAAAATTAAAAAGAAAAACATACTTGAAACTACTCACAAGCTAAATAAATGACTTTATTTTTAGCTAAATCTTGCTTCATTCTTTTTGTTAGGATTAATTTTAGCACAATTTTGTTCTTTTTCTTTCTGGTGCTAAAGGAATTTTTTAGTACAATTTTAGAGTGATTCTTAATGAGGGCAGGATCAAACAAGAACCCAAGTTTTCCTCTAGGCTAAAAATGTTCTCAGGTTGTGAATGCTTTTCTCCACTAACCAAATGGATGAAAATGCACCTTGGAAGGAAAAGGAAGAGAATACTCCCCTCCCCCAGCATGAAGGCAACCAAACTTGCAAAATAATCTAATTAATCAAAATCAAGACCGCCACTGAGATATGAAGAGTACAACAATGGTTATAGGAACTCTTACACCCAAACCAAATTAAGAAAACAATTAAAAAGAAAACAGTACATGAGTCACTACTATCCATGTCATGAAAATGGTTAACTTACAAAATAAGATCTCAAATTACTAAAGTTGAAATTACCCAGTAAACAGTTAGTTTCTCCAATGGCTGCATCAGCAGTTAACATATGTGCTTTCAAGCATATCTATCTGGTTATTGATACTATGTTAGCCCAAAATTGTGATTTGTGCTGGTTCCACAAGGAGAACAATTATTTCCATAGTACTTGTAAATGGTCAATGGGCTTGAGCTCAAGCCTTTATTAAATGAGTAACATGAAAGATAAACACAAACTGGCATTCTTAAATTCTGAGTCAAGGTCAAGCTTTACTAATAGCGACTAACCCAAGCTTGAAAATCAATGTGCTTCTCCTCACTTTGCTCTTTCCAACAAATATTGAACCAATGGCTAAATAAGAGCAAACCATTTACCAGCAAAACACAGTATGGAGTCAGATGATGAAATGCATAAGCCCAATAGCTGCTCACTAAATTTCCTCTTTTTTATGTAACAACTAACAAAAGAATGGCTCCAAATTGTCCAGAAAAAAGGGAACAAGTTTATCAAATCCCTTCCTCTTTTTTTTCTTTTTCTTATGGAAGCAAGTCCATGTATAATCCAAGAAAAGGAAACCTAGAATTACTGATATCTAAGTAAAGCCATTCATCATCAGACGTATAATCACTCCCAGGTACACAAAAATTGTGAATAAGACTATTTGTTTGTTTTTTTTTTTATCAGCCTTGTGAATAAGACTATTACGGTATATTATGGTATGCCAAGAAAGTAAATCAGGAATCAATCAAACAAGGTGTAAATATCATCTGCAAAAGGAGATATATTCATAATTCAACTCTAACCTGTAGTTGCTTCTTTTCAACTCTTGAATAACTTGACGAAGCTGACTATGAGTGCGAGTGGTGTACACAATGGTAGGAAGATTGGTAGCCCCAGACTGGGATGATGGTTCATCAGAATCCCTATCTGGACTCTGACTACTTTTTTTACTCCTACCCGTAGAGAAGCCACCCAGACTCTTCCTCCAGGCTAATGTGGCACAGAGAAGACACAATGTTTTCCCAGTGCCAGTTGGACTTTCCAAAAGTGCATTAGACCTCTGCCAAAAAATCAGTAGATTCAGATATTACTACCAACTACCCAGGAGTAGAATAAAGAGAATATAGTAATGCACTGTAAATCTCAAAACTGCACAACCACAACCTCCTTCTCCTACCCTATACAACAATACCAAGCAAAAAACAGTATTTTCCCAAACACCCTGTTGCTAACACTCACAACGACACAGTAACAGAAATATTGGAAATCTCAATGGTCAAGGAAGAACACAAAGTTTAAAAATCCCAACTTTCTGTTGAATGAGACAGAAACTTCATTAAAAAAAAATTGAAATTTACATTAAAGGGCTGAAATTTTGCATTTCAAAGAATGCTGGAACAGAAATATCGCTACAGTGACACAGTTGAAACTGAAGAAAATCAAGTCTCAGAACAAAATCAAGCGGCAGAATTCTTGGATACTTACGTTTTGGAGAGCTTCGATGACTTTCTCCATGTAAACCTTCTGACACTCGTAAGCCTCGAACGGAAAATCAACGTCGATTCCCCTTAATTTGTATGTCGGCATTTTCTGCTTCTCTTTTCTTGCTATTCCTCTTTCCTTTTTTTTTTTACTTTCTCTGAGGATCGCAAGAGGAAAGTGAAGGAAATTTTTGGGCGTTGGTCTTCTGGGATGGAGAGTAAATGGGAACGTTGTGTAAGAAAAACCCTAATTGGAGGAGTATGCTCTTTTCTCTGGATGTGAATTTTCCCGCCACAAATCGCAGGCAGAGGCGGGACAGCAACATAGAAACGACAACGTTCGTTTCCAATAAGCTTTGCATCAATGTTAGGGGCATTTGTTTTAGGGGGCATTTGTTTGAAGGGACATTAGTTTGATCTTTTAAAAATAATTATTGGTGTTGATTTTAATTAAATAAATTATATATTTTAAATTATAAATATTAATACTTATCAATTATCTAATATCAAATATTAATTGTTTTTAAAAAATTAATCTAAACAACTTATTAATTTTGTATAAATAGCTATCAATTATTAGTTTTAACCATATAAATTAAATATTTTAAATTATAAATATTAATAGTTATCGGTTATCAAATATCAATTATTAATTATTAATTATTTTAAAAAAACTAATTTGATTAATCTATTAGACAAGTGTTCAAACCATTTCTGATCACCAATTCTGGTCAATCAATCAAACCAACTGCTCTTACTATACTCATTGATTTAATAAAACATTGATGTTGTACTAATTATAAAATATTTTTTATTAATTTTATTTCCAAAATTGATTGGTTTTCAAGAAAAAAATGTAGTGTTCGTTCATCTTCCATGACATTGGATCAACAATATCCTTTAGTGTGGATCCTGTAGGCATGACACGACACAACATGATAAGGGACAAACTGCTGTTAGAATAAGCTCTTCAGCACTTCTTTCATTTCTAGTTTGGATTATTGTAAAGATGGATACTGTTATTTATATTTTTACAAAAACAAGAGACATGAAAATTTCAAATCAGTTAAGCCATGTGATCGCTGCCCTTAAGATTACGTTGCTCGATAAATATCTTTTATGATTAGAGTTGAATTTATTAATAAATATATACAGTTTATTTAAGTTTTAAAATTTGTATCTAAAAAAAATTAATTTTTTTAAATACATAAATTAATGTGAATCATCTAAAAAAATATCACTCTGGAGCTAGTAAAAGTCGTTATGAACCACCAAATGATAAATATAGTAGAAAAAAAAAAAAGAAAAAAAAATCTCTAATTGCAGTAGGATGATAGTAGCCTACGCCTCCACCCTGATGGTAACCAATGTCTCTGATGGATATAAAATACTTACTGCATAGCTCACCATTACGTGGCTTCCGTGGCCATGTTTTTTCATCGAGAAGCAAAGTGGAGCATCCTTAGAAACATATACAGTTAGAGTCTTAAATTTGATATTTTTTTATTTTTTTAAGAACAGATATTAATTATAATAATGTAATTTTTATCGTAAAAAAAAATATTTACTGTATAGTATGCAGAATCCATATAGCGTTTCTAAGAGGACAGTACCGCAGAAAGTGCCATTCCCATCTTTCCAACAACTCCATTCACTGCTCTCGATTGATGAAGTCAATGTTCAACATGAAAACAGTCAGATTTCCGCTACTGCACCCTTTTATAATCCCCATGTTTTATTATCGACTAATGACTCTCAACAACCAAGAGAATCCACTGGTGCTTTTCGGCCTCCACCAAGAAACAATCATCGTGGTGGACGAAGCAATGACAGAGGGAGTGGGAGGTCAGTTTTTGTTGGTACAGATCACAAGGACAGTTTTATTCCTCTGTAAATTATCGAAATGTTGATGCAAAGAACCGTGTTTATGCTGGATCCTCTTCCTTTCGGCAGCCTGCACAGTTCAATTCTTCTTCTCAAGCTTCCTGGAATGCTGCAATCATGCCTCCTTTGCTTCCTACTCCAACAAGAAATCTCATTGGAAAGAAGGGAATAACGTTGGTAAAAGCCTTTCCAACTTAAAATGAAACGTTTATCAATGTAAATCTTCTCGTTAATTTATTCACCAACTTAACTTAAATTCATGTTAGTAAATTGCTCAAACTTACCAATAAAGAGCATGTCTCAAATTATTTGATTGAAAAATTACAATCAGTTGA